ATATATATATATATATATATCTGTTTTGACTCTAAATTTTAGATATATGTTATGAAATCACGGTTTCTTGTTATCCTTGCAAATCCTATCATGTTTTGAAAGAAGTTATGGTTGATACCCATGAAATCCTTGTTGTAATCTCAAAACCCTTGATTCTTTTAAGAAATAAAGATTTTTATTCTTGATATTCCTTGTTCTTGATTTCAAAACTCTAGTGTTTTGTTTGAACAATAAAAATATATGTTTGATGATCTCTTGCATATTTTTCTTGAATTTGCTCCCTTGAAAAAATACCTATGGAATTGGGAGATTTTTGATTTACTTGTGATTGAGAAATTGATTGGTATTGTATCTCTTATGTGGATATTTGGATGACTATGGGTGGCCGTTGACTGGGTATCGTAGAGTGGGTAGATGCATTTTTTACTCCGTACGGGTTTGAATTTTTCCTACCACTCGCAGTGGGGTTGGTGCCTTGCGAGGACCAAACCACTATTTTCTCACGGGTATCAAGTCTAAGGGTTAGTATACTATTCCTAGGTTGGATTCGTCACTACTGATGCATTGGTATATGCCCTTCCTAAAGTTGGGTATCCTTGCGAGGATTGGGTGTGTGTGTGTGTGTGGGCCAGAATATTCTCAATATGTGTATTGTGAAGTCTTACATCATACCTGAGATACATTGTGGGCTATTGTTTATTGTGAAAATGGTTGGTTATGGTTTATTGTGGAAAGAAGTTTATTATGAACATGGTTATTGTGCAAATGGTAATTCATTGGAATTGTTATTTTTAAGAATTGGTTTTAATTTTTATTTAATTATTGCTATTGTGTAAACTTGAGATCCATTGAAATGTCCCTGTTTTCCTTCAAAAGCTATATATGATATTTGTAAAATGAGACCGACTGTTTTATATGCTTTCAAAACCTTGTTCGAGTTTGAGAGAATTTTCCTGTAGAGCTTAGTGCTCACCCCCTATAAACAATATCTTTTTCAGATTATGGTTTAGGGGAGGAGCTCGGAGTTGATGAGTCAGTACATTGGAAAACTCCAATAGATGGTAATGTGAATCTTGAGGTGGACGTTTAGAGCTATATTCCTTTATGTTCTAGACTAGGAAATTCATTTTTGAGACAATGTGAAGTCTAATATTTTCGTTATTCCGTTGCAAGATAATAGTTGATTTTCTTTTGGATGTAATTGCCATAGTCGGGCATATTATTTTAGATGATGTTGTATGTATTGTGGATGATGAAGGAAATTCTCTTTTGTTATGAAGTCCATTTAGTTACTCTCATGACGTGAATGGTTTTAGATAGTAATGTCATCCAAGGGAGATTTTGGGGCATTACAAATCGAACTCATATGGACTATTTTAATGTAAAAGAAAAATTGCATGTGGTTATATGAGTATGGATAAATGGACCTGAAATGATCAATGTTTACTTATAAATGGACCCAGTGTGGTCAATATTTATTCATAAATGGACCCGGTGTAATCAATGTAGTATAATTATACAGGCTGTATTTTGGATAGAGCTCCTCGTACAAAGGAGACTTTGCTTGAATTTTGTTAAATTAAGGACGCCCGATTTTTGGGGAGTTAAAGTGTGTCATATAACCAAAAAAAAAAAACAACAAATGAAAACACAACAAAAGAAAAC